ACGTCATGGCCCCTCCTACTCCCACCTCTAACCATTCGCCGCCATGAGGAACCTTTGGTGGTATGGTGTCGTCTGCTCGTGAGTTATCCTCGACACTTACCTTACTTCGCCGGACTTGGCTGATGTTCAGTTTCTTTCGGCGACAGATCTCGCCAAGTCTCCTCCCTCGGCCTCGGCACCCTCTCTTTGGGGGAGCCGTCTGGCGATGTCCCGCCTCCTCGCTCCGCTTCTCCTCCCGTCGGTCCTCCCGCTGGTTCTCCCTCTGCTTCTCCTCCTCCTAGTTCTCGCTCTGCTTCCCCTCCTGCCGCCAGCCCTCGCCGCAGGACGCCCGCCTTTCGTCCTGGTGAGTCTCCGTCCTCCTCCGACCAGGAGTCGCTCAGTGGTTCGGAGTCGGACGATCAGTCAGACTTCGAAGGAAAAGGGGGTGATTATAGTGATGAGGATGATAGAATCGTGTCGGAGGGTGAAACCGAGTTAGAGGAACACTCCCCATGATGATATGGTGGCGGTTAGTGCAGAGGACAACAACGTAGATAGTCCTGAGCGTGAGTTCTTCGTCCAACCTCTCACACCTTCGCCGAACTTGGCCTTGTTTATCTGTTCTTTAGCTCTCCAAGACATTGCTAACTCGCAGCCGCTCCTGCCCCTCCCCCTGCTCAAATTGTGGGCCAGAAACGACGCCGTTCCCTCTCCTCTTCTTCTTCTTCCTCTTCTTCTTCTTCCTCTTCTTCTTCTTCCTCTCCTTCTTCCTCTTCCGGGGTTCTCCCCCCCCCCAACGCCATTGCCGCTGCCGCCGCTGCTGCCGCCGCCATCGCTCCTGCTGCCGCCGCCGGTCCTGCTCCCGCCGCCCCCGTCGCTGCTCCCCCCCCTTCTCCCAGAGGGGAGCCTTCGCCCAAACGGGTGAAGAGATCACTGCGGGAAGAAGAGTACTTGTGGGAGAAGATGAAGTCCGAGCCTGGTCGTTGGATCGCGGTTGGTGTTGACGAAGCGTGTGATCGTTGCCGGTGAGTCCACCTATTCGTACTACGCCGAAGTTACTCCTGCTAATTAGTAGACGTGAGATTATCACGTATAATCGTCCAAACTGGCCCTGCCTCAAGGCAGTCAGGCCACACAACAAGGCCCTCCGTTGTGCTTCATGCACGTCTGGCCCCTGCTCCTTCTGTCCCGTTTCCTCTGCCCGGGACATCCCGCCCCGTCCCTTCGACGCTTCTCCTCTCCCCCCTCCCCAGACTCCAGCGTCTGTCCCCCGTTCGCGGGTACCGTCTTCGTCTCTCCGGTCGGTTCGCCGTACTTCGCCGGACCTCCGCCCGTCGCCTCCGTCGCCGTCGCCCTTCGCTCCTGTGGCCGGCCCATCACGTCTCCCGGCTGTTCCT